TTTGGTTGACGTAGGTATATGACACAGCTGTGTGTGCCAGGTATAAGGTACAGCTGTTTGGTTGATTTAAGTAAACAAAGATCACAAACAAACAAAAAGACTTACATCTGATTGGTTAATTGTCTCCCTTGTTTGTAATTTGAAATCGGAAAAGCTCAGCCATTCAGATGTCATCACACTCCTACGAGGATAAAAAGTGACAGTGGTACTATTTTTAGTCATCAGACAAATTACAGTCAGTACATGTATTCTTATTGATGCTTTCAGTAGAAACAGCTACGCTTATATTTAAGAAGAGGCCCAAAGGGCATGCAGCACTTACCTGGATTGTCATCATTTGTAAGCTAGACATATGTGTGGCAGACAAGATAAACTTAAAGAGAGCGATATCTATAAACCTTCAAACTGCATGTTGGTCAAGCTATTTACTTCAACTAATTCACCCCTGAAATTTAATGATGAACTATTCCAATCTTTGAATTGGAAGAGTTGAAATGAGTCTTCAGGGGTGAATGAGTTAATATTCTTAAGCATAATAATTATTATATTTTTAACAAGACTTTAATACCAATATCCCTTTCTCACTCCTGTAGAAGGAAAAACATCAAATTTTGTTATCAATTACTGGTTTGAGCATCAAATCTATGACTTTTTTTGAGATATGCTCTGGAAAAATGCTCTGTTTCCTTGACAACTCCAAAAACAAGAGTATCAGTGGAACTGATGTTTGCCCAAATACAAATTTATTGGAGGCTTTTCCTGTTTGTGAATTTTGCATTTGGTTAGATTTATGATACATATTGGTAAAAATATGTTGAAATGGGGAGTTTTGAAGAAGAAAAATCATGTTTTAACATACATACATGTATATGTGTCTGGTATGTTAGCAATAACTCTATTAGTAAGGGGCAGCTGACCCTGAATATGGTACAACGCACATCACCTTAGTGTGACTGATGTACACACCAAGAATCATTATCCTAGCTTAACAGCAGGCAAAAGTATGCTCTGGACACTACATTTTAGGAAAGGGCAATAATTAAGGGGTTGTTTTATGTAATTAAGGGGTTGTGGGCCCTGAATGAGGAACCGTGCACATTGCCTAGTATGACTACTGTACATACCAAGTGAAAGTTTCATGATCCTATCTTAAATGCTAGCAAAGCTATGCTCCGGACACAACATTTTAGCAAAGGGCAATAACTCTGTAAACAAGCATACTGAGTATTGCTGAAGCAATACATGTCCCCTACCGGCCCCCGCAATCTATTAAGATGCAACAGTGACCTCAACCTAGATCTGAGGACCTTGAAACTTGAACTTGTCCAATATATTGAATTTTTTTATAATAATGTGAAGTTTGACTAAAATCCATGAAAGAATGAGGCACTAGAGTGCTGACAAAGATTTTCTAAAATAGTAATAGTGACCTTGTCTTGCCCCGATTACCTTGAAATTGTCCAAGATATTTAAATTCTTTACAATAATGTGAAGTTTGATTAAAAACTAGGAAAGAATGAAGGCGCAAGAGTGCTGACAAACTTCTTCGGACAGACAGCGAGGAAAACTTTAGGTATTCTTGTTTTCTTCTCCCTCCCTGCCACCCCCACCCAGTTTCACCGGTAAGGGAATAAAAATACTAAGAAATCTTATTTGTTGATTGTAAAGGTATCTTTACAAGTGTGTGAAGTTTGATAAACAGGCAAGGAAGAATGTTAAATAAAATTTTCTATTTATAGTAACTGTGACCTTGACCATTTGACCTTAAAACTCGAACCTGTCCAACTCAAACTTGTCGAAGATATTTTAATTCTTTATGAGTGTGTGCAGTTTGATTAAAATCCATGAAAGAATGAAGACACTAGAGTGCTGACAAAGATTTTCTATTTATAGTAACAGTGACCTTGACCTTGATCCGATGACCTTGAAACTCGAACTTGTCAAAGATATTTTAATTCTTTATGAGTGTGTGAAGTTTGATTAAAATCCAAGAAAGAATGAAGACGCTAGAGTGCTGACAAAGATTTTCTATTTATAGTAATAGTGACCTTGACCTTGATCCGATGACCTTGAAACTCGAACTTGTCGAAGATATTTTAATTCTTTATGACTGTGTGAAGTTTGATTAAAAACCAAGAAAGAATGAAGACGCTAGAGTGCTGACAAAGTTTTTCTATTTATAGTAACAGTGACCTTGACCTTGATCCGATGACCTTGAAACTCAAACTTGTCGAAGATATTTTATTTTGTTTTCTTTATGACTGTGTGAAGTTTGATTAAAAACCAAGAAAGAATGAAGACGCTAGAGTGCTGACAAAGTTTTTCTATTTATAGTAATAATGACCTTGACCTTGATCTGATGACCTTGAAACTCGAACTTGTTGAAGATATTTTAATTCTTTATGACTGTGTGAAGTTTGATTAAAATCCATGAAAGAATGAAGGCTCTAGAGTGCTGACAACCTCTTCGGACAGACGGACAGACGGACGGACAGACGGAGGGGAAAACTATAGTCCCCCCGGTTTCCCGGTAGGGGACTAATAAGGGGTTGTGGCTCCTAAATTTGGTACATTGCACATCACCTTAGTATGACTGATGTTAACACCAAGTTTCATGATCCTACCTTAAATGTGGATAAAGTTATGCTCCAGACACGAAAAGGACGGACGGACAAAGCGGTAACTATATGCTCCACCGCAAATCTTCGGGGAGCATAAAAATCATAATATCTTTAAAAAAGAAAATAATATTACACCCTACTGCAGTATGACTGACTAACATTTGGAGTATAAACATTAACTCATCCCCTATACTCTAAATTTCCTTACAGAAGATTGATATAAAAGTGTTTCAGATCTTTTCAATTCATGCAAGCAGCTTTTAGCTTTCTAAACTCAAGTATGATGGAAGGAAATTCCCAAATTTCCAAATTTCTATTTACTTACGAAGGAGGGTCTGACTTTTTTAAAAGGGATGTGCTTTCATCCATTTTATTATCCAGGTTCTGTATCTTTTGTACAATGTCCTGTCAACAGAATTATCAGAAAGTTTTAGTTTACAACATTGTGTCAACTGAATGTGTCAAATGTCTTAAAACAACATCTTGTAAGCAGAATTTGTCAAATGTCTTAAAACAACATCTTGTCAGCAGAATGTGTCAAATGTCTTAAAACAACATCTTGTCAACAAAATGTGTCAAATGTCTTAAAACAACATCTTGTCAACAGAATTAGTCAAATGTCTTGATACATTATTCTCACTTGTCAACAGAATTATCAAAAGATAACAAGTTTTAAAGATTATCACACCGTGTTTTCAGGGTTTGATGTGAGCACGTGATTAAAACAAGAGACCACAGAAGGTGGACTTGATATTTTATTCATGTGCTAGTGATAAGATTTTTTTTAGGCCTACTCGAATGATTTACAGGACTTTAGACTGCCTAATATTGTCATACCACAGGCGCGGCGTGTTTCCACCATGTTACTATTAATACACACAGCCAAAGTCAAGGCCGACTTGTTACAGAAGTGAGGCCCATTACGGGGTAATTCACCTGGAGGTGCAGCAAAGGGAATGTACGCATGTATGTATGTAAGGCTTTGTACCTTCATTTTGAATGTAAGTATGAATGTGAGTATGAGTGTTAAAGAAGACAGTGAAAATAAAGAAAGAATAATATAATTAGTAGTATTAAGAATGAGAGAAAGTATGAGATCCCTCTTGTATGAGGACACATGATTATGAAGATGCTGATCCTGGGGCTCCCCAACCGGCAGCATCCTAAATGTGCTGGGGAAGTAAAATGTTTGAAAAAAAATAAATGTTGAAAACCACAAACCTTGGAAGCACAGTGTGATAAACTGTTTATCATCATTATACTACTACTGTATATATTCCTCCATTTAAAAGGTCAACTACAAATTTCATATTTTTCATTTGACTTCTAGGCCTAATTATCATTGAGATTCACAGTAGGTGACAAAGGTACACAAGTAAGGGTTGTATATAAGGATTATACTTACGCAAATTGAGTTTTACTGGCGACGCGTAGCCGAGACAGTAAAGCGGATATTTGCGACAGTATAATCACAATATACCATAGCAAATTTCAATAAAACAGTAGGGTAATCACCACTCTAATTTATATCAACCAAAACCACCTACAGAAACGATGATTTTAAGATATTTTTGAGTGTTTTCTTCAAATTCTGGGTCTCCCTGCTCTGGATTGATGACGTCAGAAATTTTTCAAACTGAGGTGGAATCAAGTTAACCTTTTGGGGTCACGCTATTGTTCATGATGTCATGAATAATCAATTTCATGACGTTTCAGGGTTAGTCGGGGTCATCGACGTCACAAACAATGGCCATTCTGGCTTCATATGCAAATGAGAATTTCCAGACAGTATATCGTGGTTTTACTGTCGCAAATTATTTTGATTCACCAATCAAATGCCATGTTATATCTCAAATGAATTAGAATACAAAATTTACACAGAGGCACACCATGTAAACGGAAATTGTTTAAAAAGCTATTTTTAAAACAATGCTTGGCCATATACACACTTTTACGCTTTAAATCGTGTTATATTTGTATCATCTTAACACCATTGTTTTCATGATTTTTTAATCATTTGATTATAATGGACTTTTTTTTTCTGATGCGAATCGTTATTTTTTTCGGCAACGAACAATACTATTCAATGTATTCAAAACAGTGTCGTAGTGCGGGTCCCAAATGGGGATTAATTTTGGTAACAAAGTTGTTAAGTTTTTTGTTTTTTTTAATACAAGTAGATTTCACCATGACTTATATTAAAATATCCATAATTACTTCCATAAGTCTCCATAAATATATTGTGATGAATTTAAGAGTGTTTGTATCCCATTCAGTTGCCACTATAATGTTTATATTGGAGACAACAAAACGCAACATCTTGCAGCAAATTCGAAAACAATAGGTCACATGATGAAAAATGTGTACTATGCACCTATACAAATATTTCTTGCCAATTAATGGGTGCTGATTTTAGCAACAATAATTGAAATTACACGACTGTTGTGTGCTAGAATAAGTTTAGCAGAAGACAGGTAACACCAAAGTCTGTTGTCATGTGTACAGGACAACGGGCATGAGACGCATATACATTTGTCGTCTATTCACGAAAACTGGGACCAGGAAGCTCATTGATTGTCATGTGTACAAGACAACGGTACGGAAAGCGTTAAACAGATCATCAAAACATAATAATTGCTTCAGAATTTCGTTTTGATAAACCATGGCCTGACCATTTCAGAAGAGAAACGACTGATGTGGTTAATACTTACATGCATGAACTGGTAGTAGTTAGGCTTCGTCGTGTAAAACATAGGATGGAACGGTCGACCATCCCTACCAAACTGTGCCTCTGAAATTATGGCAAAAAGCTCAGTCACGATTACTCATGATTTATCTGATGTAATAACCTGACAATATAAACTCTGACATTATTATTTTCGTGTATATCTATACCACCTTCGAATTCCTTTCTCCATACACATAACTTCTCTGCACCATTTGAATTAAATTAAAATTTGTTGTAAATTAAAATTAAATTAAAGGTCTGTACACGACACCTTGTGGATGATACAAAAAGTCTCATCTAATGACTTTGATGAAGATCAAAGGAATCATGCAGCAGCATAACGGTAAAATTGACAGGTTTGGCGGTCAGGTGTAATCTTCAAAGGACAGGTATCAGCAAAGTGATTGGTCAGTTGTTTATACCTAAAACCAATCAAATGAATTACCATGAGCCTTTACTTTGTGACATAGTCCAAGGGTACAGAGAAGATAGGTGGCCTCAGATAACAGTTCAAACTTCAGGTCCAACAAAACACATGTCGACCTCATCCCCCGTCAACAACTGTATGCTGTAGCACCTTGGTGTCATACTTACTCTTTTTGTGGGGAAGGACTTCATCTGCTTCCTGGAAAATAAACAAAACGTCCATAAATCAAAGATAAGATAGATAGCAGTGACATACATAATCAATTAAAAGTCAGCTAAGACTCAGAGCTATCTAGCAGCTTATGGAGAGGACAGTTACTCAGAAAAAGGTAAACTTGACCGAATCTGAGATCCTCATTTGGTTGAGTAACTAGTCCCTAAACCGTCATATGGTGCATATGTAAGACCAGGCAATTGCTATATTTGTTGTATTGAAGCAGAAATTGACTTAGTTGACTGCAGGTGACCATATTGATATCGGATATCTTAATTGTGAAAGTAAAGAGGTCATGGGTTTAAGCCCGTGTCAATGCAATCCATTGTTGAAAACATCTTAAAACATGTATTTCAAACTATATATGTCAAGATACTCTGGTTTAGGCCATCCTTCAGAAATTATTTGTTTGTGATTTTAGATTTTTAGATTAAAAACTTAAAATTGTGAGCATGGAAACTGCAAACAACTATTTTCTTTAAGGTTGTTCTTATGCAAAATTCTTGTGATGTAAAAATTTGTTGATGTTTAAAGGGTAAGCTGGGACAAAATTTAAAGATTTCCTCGACAACAGATGTGTCAGAAAAGAAGACTTTAAAACAAAGGGTGGTCTGGTGGCGCAAAGGACAACGCACTTGTCTTTCACCAAGGCGGCTGGGGTTTGATTCCTTGATTGGACATGAAAAGGTGTGGGGTCACCTGCTCCACCATGTGGGTTTTCTCTGGGTACTACTTTTTCCTCCCACATAAAGCCCCATCCTCACTCACGTGTAAACATCTGGGCCAACAAGAGTGATTAATATAAGTTATGAAAACTTGTTTCATAATTGTTGTAAAATAAATAAAGTTTATATTGATTTAAAATAAAGAACTCACCAACAAGTGGGGATGAGCTCTTTTGTCAAACATTCCCGACGGCATGAGGTACCTGACCGCAATCTTGGCATGTTCCTTTGTGAAATCGTCATGGTGAATGCCCATCATGTTGGCAAGATGTCGTCGCCCAAGATCATAATCAGCTGTCAGATTGTCCTTCTGATTTTCTGAAATTATATATAATTACATCCACAAATGACTCGTGATGTGATGCATAACGTAACAAAGGTTTATTTTTAGACCAATATAAAAATAAAGTATCTAGGAAGTTGGTTTATATGATGACAAGCGTATTTAGTTGTATTTATACTTAACTGTTTAAGATGTTGATGGACTTATTACCAGACTATCTAGGGCTTATTGCCGGATCAAAAGACCCTCGTGAAATTCATTATAAAAGTGTCTCATGCTGCGAGGAACTTAGGCAGGTTTATATTTTTGAGTATCTGATCATGAAATCATTAAAAATGACATGTATGCATAAATGAACAGAAACGTTTAAGACACTGTTGGTCTTAATATATATGACAAACCGTATTTGACAGCTGTTTCCAGGTAGGCCTTCATGGCATTACTGATCTTCCGCGCCTTGTCTCCAGAACCAAACGGATCTACAGTGAGCTTTTCGTGTGTCGTCCCAGAGCAATGGAAACCACACTGAGATATTAAAAACACTCTGTTAAAAATATTTTCTCAAAAGCAGAAGGAATATCATTAAAATCACAATTACCTGTAACAATTAACTTAACAAACACAATAGTTCTCTATTGTCTCCCCTTTTGTCAAGTTTAGTGGACTTACTATATATACTAGACAAGAGTTGATTGTTAAACACAGGCCGGACGATATCATGATACGGATAGTATAGAAAAGTAATGAACTCATTTAGAAACAACAAAAAATGGTCATCAACTTTAATCTATCACAGAATTGACAAGAAGCAGACTATTCTCACAAATTATAGTTTTAATTAAAGCTGAAAGACAGACTTTCAAAACTTATAAAACACTCCATTTAGAAATGTGATTTTTGATGCGAGTTGGTGTAGTTGATTTTCTGACATTGAGAGCTTTCTTCGTACCCTTTTTGTATAAAGTATTATATTAGTTTACCTATTTTTGACAGGAACATGAGACTTGGAGAAAATTTCATAAACAAAAGCATGATTTTGGGAAAACAGAATGGTTTTGCAATGATTTTTGGCGAATGCAGTAAGAAATAACTAGGGGAAGAGTATACTGTAACAGGAAAGAGAATAGTGTGCTTCCATCGGGGATCGAACCTTTGATCACAAGGTTCCTAGTCCGAAGCTCTACCACTGAGCTAAAGGGAAATTCCCTATAGCTCGAAGCTAGAAGGCGAACGTAATCCTATGTACAATTAATATAAAATCTGCCACTCTTTTCCCTCCTTTTTAAATGTGTGCTTCTGCCGGGGTCAAACCCGCAATTCATATGTTCCTAGTGGGAAGCTCTACTATTGAGCTAAAGGGAAATTCCTTCTAGCTCGAAGGCGACCGTAATCCTATGTACAATAAAAATATGCCACATAACTATAACTTGTATAAGGCCCCAAATTCAATGGTATATAATTACATACACATCATAATTGAGGGTGTCATTTATACCAGGGGTCGATTAAAACCCCTAAAATGGATAATATTTCTCTCTACACTTCAGGATAAACCACAGGGGCTGGCAACGATTTATATGGGATAAGAATAAAAATAGTGAGAAAAATTACGTACGTCTGTACATAACATACAGTTACGTATTTTTCTCACTATTTTAATTGTTATTACATATAAATCGTTGCTAGCCCCTGTGTTATGTTATGTACAGTTACGTATTTTTCACTATGATTATTCTTATCACATAAATCGTTGCTAGCCCCTGTGCTTCAAGGTTAACATCAGGGTAAGTCAGGAAAATTAACCAAGGGGCGTGTTAATTCACTTAATATATTTATATATTTACAGTGAATGTGACCATTGAATTATACCTACTCTTGAGTTAAGATTAATCGTCGTTCCTTGTGAATTTGATAAAATTTTCAGGAGCTGCCTCCACGCCAAAAGCCTGGGGCTGGAGGCGGCCATATTGTTCAATGTCGCGGTCACGTAAACGCTTTACATCTACATATTTATACCATGTGTATTTTTGGCGGGAATTTTAAAAATAATTTGATTTTATCGAGATATCGTTGTATGTATTTATGGGCCCCGAGACCCCAATACGTTCTTATTTTCGTCCGCGCGTCCGTACTAATTAGTTATCTTTAATACTCGCTCTATTTTTGGCTTACCGTCTTTCTGTTCTCCTATATTTCGTCTTTTCGCCCTTAACTACGCCAGTGACGTATAATACGTATTATTATACGTCTCTGACTACGCTATTCATTACACATAGATAAAACAAATCAAGTTTATAAGCTAAACAGATATATCTGGGGGATATTGATCCAGTTCTCTTAAAATCATCATTTTTTTAATCAAATCAGTATTGCCTGAAATTTCATAAAAAAACCTTTTAAATGAATTGGTTCTAGTTTTGACATTTTCGTTACCCTATATATTTCTGATCCGTGCATCAATATAGGGTTAAAATATCATATAATGTAAACGGCAAAACCATTGGAAGGTGATAGTTTTAAAACAGCTGGAGATGGATTTCTGGTCTTGTCATGAATTTAAGCTTCCGATTACATGTTAAAGAGCTATCGTTTTCATTTAATTTCACATGCCGTTCTTGCCAAATGTCTGTGACTTGGCCATTATGTTTACAACTACAAACACACGACACACTACCACAAACACATGACACACTACCATTAACAAACGACACACTACCACTTACACATCACACACTACCACTAACACATGACACACTACCACTAACACATTACACAATATCACTAACACATTAAAACACTACCACTTACACATGACACACACTAACACACGACACACTACCACTAACACACGACACACTACCACTTACACATGACACACTACCACTAACACATCACACTACAACTAACACACGACACACTAACACATGACACATTACCACTAACACACGACACACTACCACTAACAAATGACACAATACCACTACCACACGACACACTACCACTTACACATGGCACACTACCACTAACAGACGACACACTAACACATGACACACTACCACTTACACATGAAACACTACCACTAACACATGACACACTACTACTAACACATGACATACTACCACTAACACATCACACACTACCACTAACACATCACACTACCACTAACACATGACACACTACCACTAACACATGACACAATGCCACTAACACACGACACACTACCACTCACACATGGCACAATACCACTAACACACGACACACTACCACTAACACATGGCACACTACCACTAACACATGACACACTACCACTAACACATGACACACTACCATTTATACATGACACACTACCACTAACACATGACACACTACTACTAACACATGACATACTACCACTAACACATCACACACTACCACTAACACAACACACTGCCACTAACACATGACACACTACCACTTACACATGACACACTACCACTAACACATGACACACTACCGCTAACACACGACACACTACCACTAACACATGGCACACTACAACTAACACACTACACACTAACACATGACACACTACCACTAACACATGACCCACTACCATTTATACATGACACACTACCACTAACACATGACACACTACCCCTAACACACGACACACTACCACTAACACATGACACTCTACCACTAACACATGACACACTACCATTTATACATGACACACTACCACTAACACATGACACACTACCCCTAACACACGACACACTACCACTAACACATGACACAATACCACTTACACATGACACACTACAACTAACACACGACACACTAACACATGACACATTACCACTAACACACGACACACTACCACTTACACATGACACACTACCACTAACACATGACACAATACCACTAACATACGAGACACTACCACTAACACATGACACACTACCACTAACAAATGACACAATACCACTAACACACGACACACTACCACTCACACATGGCACTTTACCACTAACACAATACCACTAACACGCGACACACTACCCCTAGCACATGGCACACTACCACTAACACATTCCACACTACCACTTACACACGACACACTAACACATGACACACTACCACTAACACATGGCAAACTACAACAAACACACGACACACTAACACATGACACACTACCACTAACACATGACACAATACCACTAACACACGACACACTACCACTGGCACATGACACACTACAACAAACACACGACACACTACCACTAACACACGACACACTAACACATGACACACTACCACTAACACATGACACACTACCACTAAGACACGACACACTACCACTAACACATGACACAATACCACTTACACATGACACAGTACCACTAAGACACGACACACTGCCACTAACACATGACACACTACCACTAACACATGGCACACTACCACTAACACATGACACACTACCACTTACACATGACACAATACCACTTATACATGACACAGTACCACTAAGACACGACACACTACCACTAACACATGACACACTACCACTAACACATGACACAATACCACTAACACACGACACCCTACCACTAAAACATGGCACACTACCACTAACACATGACACAATACCACTAACACACGACACACTACCACTAACACACGACACACTAACACATGACACACTACCACTTACACATGACACACTACCACTAACACATGGCACAATACTGCTAACACATGACACACTACCACTAACACATGACACACTACCACTTACACACAACACACTACCACTAACACATGACACACGACACACTAACACACGACACACTACCACTAACACATGGCACACTACCACTAACACATGACACACTATCACTAACACACGACACACTACCACTAACACACGACACACTACCACTAACACACGACACACTACCACTAACACATGACACACTACCACTAACACATGACACACTACCACTAACACATGACACACTACCACTAACACATGACACACTACCACTAACACATGACACACTACCACTAACACATGACACACTACCACTAACACATGACACACTACCACTAACACATGACACACTACCACTAACACATGACACACTACCACTAACACATGACACACTACCACTAACACATGACACACTACCACTAACACATGACACACTACCACTAACACATGACACACTACCACTAACACATGACACACTACCACTAACACATGACACACTACCACTAACACATGACACACTACCACTAACACATGACACACTACCACTAACACATGACACACTACCACTAACACATGACACACTACCACTAACACATGACACACTACCACTAACACATGACACACTACCACTAACACATGACACACTACCACTAACACATGACACACTACCACTAACACATGACACACTACCACTAACACATGACACACTACCACTAACACATGACACACTACCACTAACACATGACACACTACCACTAACACATGACACACTACCACTAACACATGACACACTACCACTAACACATGACACACTACCACTAACACATGACACACTACCACTAACACATGACACACTACCACTAACACATGACACACTACCACTAACACATGACACACTACCACTAACACATGACACACTACCACTAACACATGACACACTACCACTAACACATGACACACTACCACTAACACATGACACACTACCACTAACACATGACACACTACCACTAACACATGACACACTACCACTAACACATGACACACTACCACTAACACATGACACACTACCACTTACACATGACACACTACCACTAACACATGACACACTACCACTAACACATGACACACTACCACTAACACATGACACACTACCACTAACACACGACACACTACCACTAACACATGACACACTACCACTAACACATGACACACTACCACTAACACATGACACACTACCACTAACACATGACACACTACCACTAACACACGACACACTACCACTAACACATGACACACTACCACTAACACATGACACACTACCACTAACACATGACACACTACCACTAACACATGACACACTACCACTAACACATGACACACTACCACTAACACATGACACACTACCACTAACACATGACACACTACCACTAACACATGACACACTACCACTAACACATGACACACTACCACTAACACATGACACACTACCACTAACACATGACACACTACCACTAACACATGACACACTACCACTAACACATGACACACTACCACTAACACATGACACACTACCACTAACACATGACACACTACCACTAACACATGACACACTACCACTAACACATGACACACTACCACTAACACATGACACACTACCACTAACACATGACACACTACCACTAACACATGACACACTACCACTAACACATGACACACTACCACTAACACATGACACACTACCACTAACACACGACACACTACCACTAACACATGACACACTACCACTAACACATGACACACTACCACTAACACATGACACACTACCACTAACACATGACACACTACCACTAACACATGACACACTACCACTAACACATGACACACTACCACTAACACATGACACACTACCACTAACACATGACACACTACCACTAACACATGACACACTACCACTAACACATGACACACTACCACTAACACACGACACACTACCACTAACACATGACACACTACCACTAACACATGACACACTACCACTAACACATGACACACTACCACTAACACATGACACACTACCACTAACACATGACACACTACCACTAACACATGATACACTACCACTAACACATGACACACTACCACTAACACATGATACACTACCACTAACACATGACACACTACCACTAACACATGACACACTACCAATAACACACGACAC